ACTTGTTATCTATCCTTTTTATATCGCAAAATGTGTAGGTAAGAAAAATGGGAAAAAGAATTAATTAATGTTTGGCAAAGCTATCATCATCTCACAATACAAAGGTGGAAAATGAATTCAAGAGAACATATAATGAAGGAAAAAAGAGTACCACAAAAGATATAGAATCCAAATGCTTTGATACATAGCAATGGCATAACGTGGCGTTGGCCTATTCGGAAGGGAAGCCAATGGCAATGAGGATGAGATTTAGGCAATGTTAGCATTAACGGCTAAAAATGTTTTTGGTTAAAAAGATAGTTTCAAAGTGAAAATTTTAAATTTTGCGGCTAAAAAATATGATTTTGCACATGAAAACCCAAACTCTTTATATATGTGTTTGTGATTAAAAATACATTTTTAGAAGGTAAAATCATTTTTTATCTCTATAATTTTAAATTTTAATTATTTTATACATATTTTTGAATACTTTAATAAATTAATAATACTTTTTTATAATAGCTTTAAATATTTAAAAATTTTAAACTAAAACTTTTTAATCATACTTTTAAACATATTTTTTTCAAATCAAATTTTTTAAAATTGCAACAACAATGATAAATTTAACTTTAAAACTCTTACATGTGAATTGCACATATCTACCATTGCTACCCAACCCCATCCAAATGCAATTTTCTTTGTTGGAATAATATTGTTAAATATATTTTTTACCAATAATATTTAAAAATAAATAAATTATTTAATTTTTTAGATCAAAATAAAATATGTTATATTTAATAATTTATAATAAATAATTATAAATTATATATTTAAAATAATCTCGATAAATAATTATCGATAAAATTTAAATTTAAAATTTTTTATAAAAAATTAAATTTTAACTAATTAAATTCATTATTTATTGATAATAATATTAAATATATTACTACTGCATTATATCTAAAAGCAAACAAAAAAAAATCGCACCCAACCGGAGAATGACCGTATCCCTACTCGTGAGAAAGAGAATATCATAGAGAAAGATCCACCTCTCATTTTCGTAATTGCTGAAACCAAAATTATTATTATTACAACTTTTTATTTTGAAAAGAAAAAAAATTTTGAATCTCTCATTTAAATAAAAAATACTTGTATTCATATGATCTCCACCTCAAATAAAAAAAAAATTTACATTCTTCTTTAATTGAAATGCTCAGGTGTCTCAATTAATTGCAGTAATCGTATATTTTGATTGAAAAAAGGGGGCCACGTGGCGAGTAACTTTGGTCTTCGTGTTTGTTGGAGATAACAACATCCTCTCACCAAACATCCTCTCACCAAGCTCCATACAACTTGTGGCTCTCAATTTTTCTGTCTTTTCCAATTTTTTCTTTTTTAATTATTATGTATTATTTCGAAAGTGAAATCTCATGCAACCAGTTTATTACTTTTTCTTTTTCTAAATATAATAAAAGAATTGACCTTTGCCTTGATAATGGGTTACTGACTCTAGCCTATTAGCCTCCACGTAAAATATTTGTGTATTATATTAATTTATATATTTATGTAATATTTTATATAAAAATTATATGTAAAAAATTATCTTATATAAAATTAAAAAATATATATTTTATTATTTTATTAAATTTATAAATAATTTTTATGAAAATTTTAAATTATATCGTGATTATTTTTTTGTTTATTTTTATATCTTATTATTTAAATTATATTTTAAATTATTAAGTCTTCCTATACAGTTGCATCCACCTAAAAGGTGGGCTGCTCTGCTTTGAGCACCACGTCTCACTTTTCATCTGGGCCGTCTATCACTCATTTCTAAAAATGTTGCCTCCACTCTCTGACTCGTATACATACAGACAAATAAAACTCTTGTTGTTTTTCTCTCTTTTTTTCTGATAATCAACCCTTGTTTTTTTTTTTTACATAAAAAAAATTTTAATATAAATAAAAAAAAAGAAAAATTTAATTCAAAATCAAATTTTTAATATCTTTTCAAATATCTCTAGATTAAAAATTTAGAAACCAACCCTTATTCTTTCATACGTTAATACTACATTATTTTTATAAACTTTTCGTATCATCTAAATTACTTTCGTTGGTTATATTTTTTTTAATTTTAATTTAAAAATTTTTTCAAACGAAGGGTATTGTGTCTGTGAATTAAAAAGTAAAGATTGAGCCATAGATAAATGCAACAAATATTCCTTATGAAAAATGCAATAAAACTTTTTTTTTCTTTTTTATAACAGTCATTATATATTTACTGCTATAAGCTTATTATTAAATTTTATAATAATGGATCAATGTACAAACCAATTGGTAATTGAAGCTAATAGCAATATTCCATTTCACAAGATTAATAAGATTAGTTTAAGTATTATTTGGTGTATTTACCCTTTCAAAATTAATAACAATTTACTCTTTAAGCAAGTATTCATCTTCAATGACAAAAGAAGAATGAAATCTTTGTTAGTTCTACATCTTAAAAATCTAGTTAAGAACCTTAAAAATGTATTTAAGGGATTCTTTTAATTGACTGGTTCATCATAACTTCAAAATAAAAAAAAAAAATAATCCTCAAAATTCTATAACTATATAATAAATAAATATTGATTTCTAAGGACTACGCAATTGATATATGATAAATATGATAAGCACAGTTTACTTAATTTATATTTAGATAAATATTAATAATGTAAAGAAAAGTTTTTTAAAAGAAAAAAAAATGATACATATATCCTTAACTTAAATAATTAAAATTAATAAAAAATTAAAAGAATTTTAACAATTATTATTTAAATAAATAGTGAAAAAAAAAGAAATAATTCATTATAATATTTTTTCAAGTATAACTTTTTTTTAATAAAGTAATATATAATATACAAATATATCTTTATACTATCTAACTTATATAAACAAATCTTTTTAAATAAAATTGAGAATGTTTAATACAATAGGATGTATTAGCTAGTTATTGATTTACTCTTAATTTTATTTTTAATTTAGTTTTTTTATTTATTCTGATAATAATTTAGTTTATTTTGTTATTAAGACTTAAAAAATTATAAAATATTTATAAATTATGATGTTATATAAAATACTAATAAAAAAATTATTTTGTAAGAAGTATCAGTTACATAATCAAATTTAATATCATAATGAAAATATAAATATAATAATTTTTTTATAAAAATAAAAATTTTTAACTTTTCTTTCAAATTGCAATATTAAAAAATTAAAAATTACAAGAAAAACAAAATATTATTTAGTTTTCATTTCTTTTTTTTTTTCTTTAAATTAACAATTTATTCAAACAAAAAATTTTTTTTATTTCCATTACTTTCATTTATTTTTCTTTTTGTTTTTTTCTCTTCTTCTCAATTCAAATATAATGTTTATATGAAAACTTTTTGAGAGTTTATACTCTTCTTCTTAAAAGTCATCCATGCTCACTTTTTATATAACAAATAAATTCCGTGCTCATTAGCACAATTTATTATTTTTATATAATAAATAGACTTTGAAACTCGATTCAATTTCAAAAAATTATTTAATTTGTTAGAATTTCAATCCGATTAAATTTATTTTTTTAATAAAAAATAAAAAAATATTAAATATTAAAATATTAAAATTTATATTTATTAAATATTAATAAATGCTTGAACTAATTAAATTGAATCAATTCAAAATTTCAAATTTTAAATTTGACTTAATCTGATAAAAAAATTAACAATTCAAATTGTCCACCGTAAAATTTATATAACCCAATCATAAAATAATCCTAAATTAAAATAATTAGAATTCAAATAACTTAAATTTTCAAATTTTAAATTTGACTTAATCTGATAAAAAAATTAACAATTCAAATTGTCCACCGTAAAATCTATATAACCCAATCATAAAATAATCCTAAATTAAAATAATTGGAATTCAAATAATTCAAAATATTAAAAAAGACCTAAAATTAATTCAATTTAATTATTTAAATTTAAAACTATATGAATTTTTTCCTATTCAAAATGACTCGATCCGAATCCTACAATTAACATCTACAACGAGTATTTTTTTTATGTATGTATCATTTACCAATGCACGCACGTAGAGTGAGGTAAGCTAAAAGATAAGAGATGGATGGGATCTGAGTCGGAGTGTTTCAAGCTTTGCAGGTGAGAATGAGATGAGAAAATTGAGGGCTGAGGCTAGGCTAGCATAGGTTCCACCATTATCCTCAGTAAGAGAAAAAGAAGAAAAATATACAAACATGAGGCTGAAATTAAATTGGCTAATTCTACTACGGCTGCTGCTGCAGCACAGGGTGTTACCGTAGAGTCAAGTACGTTGGATCACCGCTCAAACTGTCTCGAAAGAGCTAATGAAAAAAGAAAAATATATTTAAAATTTACTTGGACGGTATTGGTTTGTAGTTGGTACGCGTGGCGTTAACGGAAAAGAAGAGCTGATGTGGCAAAAAGCGCAGATGAGGTTGGTGGTCCCGACCTCAGCTCATCAAAGACCTTTATGTCACAAGCAGCTGCACCACCACCACTTGGCCAGCCGTCTTTGTCTCTCCTTGTTTTTAGAGGCCGTAGATATTTTTCGATTTTTTCTCCTGCCTTCACTTTTTATTTTCTGTTTCTGGCCTTTTTTATCTCCATCCTTTGTGCCACCCACTGCATTTCACGCTCTCTCATTAATGGGCACAAATATGAAAGAAACGGGCGAGTGAATGAAGGGCGCGTGGCAGTAAAAGTCATAAAATATCTGACAATGGCTACATTTATCATTTATCCATCCATCACTCAATATCTTCCACACAATAAAACGAGAGAGAGAGAAATCTTTGTAATAAAAGAAAGGGCAAAGCAAACCATGCCGCGTGTCGAGGGACTCGAGCGTTCTCAGCCACAAGACTCCAAGCCCTTCTCGAATTTTCCATGGAAATAAAAAAGAAAAACCAGAAATTACATCTGACGTGGCGCCCTTCCCTGCTTTTATACGTATCAACTTGCCTTTCCATCTTCAAAGCCTAGTTTTTCCTTTCCTTTCCTTTCCTTTCCTTCTCTGTTTTCGATTCTTCTCTTCTCTTTCTTTTCTTTCCCTTGCCCTTTAAAAATACTTTCGCAGCCACTCACCATTACGACTGTTTAATTTCATGCTATTTTAGTTATCTGATTATATACTGGGAATTCCTCTGCCGAAGTCAAACATTTGCTTTCGTTGCTTAAGTTTCTTTTCCTGCCTCTCTGTTTCCAGGATTTCTCTTTTCAACTGGTAAGTTTGTGGCTGATCTGCTTGCTTTCATGGTTATATTTCTTTTAATTTAATGATCTTTCTTATGCGACATACTGTTAATTGCAGAGGAGAAGAGTTATGATTTGTTTTTTTTTCCTTTTTCCTTAATTGGAAAGAAAAATTTTGACTTTGATTTTGGGGGGGAGTTGCAGGAGTTATTCAAGTATTGACTCGGCAAGTTTTGAAGCGAAATCCGTTTCTCGTGATGGCTACTCAGGTACATCATAGCAACCTATTATATTCATATTTATGAGGCTTATACTTGTACAGTAATATGGACTTTACTTTATTAATATAGATAAGAGCAGAGAATTTCCAGTGCGTACTGCTTACATAATTAGCAGTGAAAGTCCGCATAATTTGAGTTGCAGGGTAAACCAAAATCGACATTCTGTGCTCTTCTTTGGTTTCAAATGACTAGATTTGCCCTACATCTTTTTCCATACTGGATAGATTTGCCACTTAAAGCTTGTTTCTGATATTGGGGTGATGGAGGATTCAGATCCCGTTCTTTGAGCCGGGGGGAAGCATTGGCAAAATTTGCCGCTTCTTTAATTTTTATCACTATGCTTGCAGTACCTTAGAAAATGCTCCATGCTTTTTAATTGATTATATTGTAATATATATTTTTGAAACAGAAATATATATATGAGGAGGTGAATATATATCCTTCAATGAGAATTAGCATTGATTTTGGTACTAAGAATTGTTATTAGAAAATGATATTACAATTCATATTGTGAAGATTGTTTCCTTATTGTTTAAATACTCTTGAAAATTTTGATATAGGACCAAATTGAAGGCACAACATTGCCCAATGCTCTTAAATCTGGTATATGCAGTTCCAATGTTAGCCCACAATCTGAGACTTTGACCCAGTTGCAGGAGATATACAAATTTCGGCATGATCATACACCCAAGGTTCCTTTCTTCACGTTGCCTGTGAATTATACTTTTCTTTCAAGACCAGTCCCCAACAAGTAATTGTTAATCTTTTGTTGGCTATGCGTAAACTTCTTGTTTATTTCTTTACCTTTAAAATAGGTCAGGAAACCCTATACTATAACTAAACAAAGGGAAAAATGGACTGAAGAAGAGCATCAGAAGTTTCTTGAAGCTTTAAGGCTGTATGGTCGTGGCTGGCGCCAAATAGAAGGTAAGTGTTCAGTGGCGAGGAATGGATTCACTTTTTTGCCACAGCTATGGTTTGAACAGTTAAAGGTACTCTTATTTTCATGCAGAGCATGTAGGCACCAAAACTGCGGTTCAAATTCGAAGCCATGCTCAAAAGTTTTTCTCTAAGGTTTATTTTGCTTTAAGTTCAATACAAGATTTTATTGATTAAGAAAATGTATTGAATCTTTTGTGCTCATGCAATGTGTAGATATTCTTAAGCAGATTTTTCTAGTAAGTTTGTCTCTCATACTTGCCTGTTTTCTTATTTTGGTTGTAGGTTGTCCGACATTCAAATGTTGGGTTTGAGGATTCAATTAAACCAGTCGAGATACCCCCACCTCGTCCAAAAAGGAAGCCAATACATCCATATCCCCGCAAATCTGTTGATTCGTTCAAAGGAATATCATCATCATCTCAATATGAGAGGTCTCCATCCCCCAATAAATTTGTCAGAGAACAAGATAACAAATCGCCCACATCAGTTTTATCTGCATTTGCTTCAGATGCAATGGGGTCTGCTGCCTCGGAGCAACAAAATGGATGTTCTTCCCCAACTTCTTGTACTACCAATATGCAGTCAATCAATACATCCCCTGTTGAAAAGGAAAATGACTATGTGACATCCACCTCATCTGCAGAGGAAGAAAAAACATCTTTGTCATCGGGGAAAGTTTTTGGTCATTTGGCTGTGGAAGACATTTTGCCTACGGTAAAATTATAGTGTTAAATCTCTGGTTCATTTTTTTTTTTAATTTTCTATAAAAACTATTGCTAACATTTACTTTGTCTAGAATTTGGACTCTAATTCTTTTCTCTTCATGTAATTATCCAGAAATTCAATGAAGATTTCAAGAACTCTATGTGTGCTAAGGGAAATGCAGCAATAGTTGTGCCTTTCACAAGTATTAAGCTTTTTGGGAAAACAGTTCAGGTGAAAGATTCTCCTGAGCCTTCCATAGGTGCAGAAAATTTCAAGTCATCAACATCTAAGAGTGGTCAAGAGGATGTTAATGCTGTCAGTGAGATGCTTGTTCAAGCATTACCGGCAACATACTTAGACACGCATTTGTCACTTGGCACAGTTATCAATAATTGGAATGTGGTGCCTTCCAGAGCTAATTTATCCCCTTACCGGGAAATCCACCCAGATAAAAATGACCATGTTGAATCCACCCGTGATGCTTCTCTGCCATGGTGGGCTTTTTACCAAGGTCTTCCCTTTTATTACATTACCTCATTTAATCAAACCCCTACAGATTCTTGTGTCGAAGAGATGATGAATGAAAAGGAAATTCTAAAAGAAAGATCCTGTTCTGGTTCAAATACTGGCTCGGTTAGTCAAGCAGAAAATAGGGAGAAGACTTCATATTCTGTTGATTCCAAATGCCAATATCCTTGTCCTGGGGGAAAAACAACTCCTCAAAAGTGTAGTAAGGGGTTTGTGCCATACAAAAGGTGTTTGGCAGAAAGAGATACATCGTCGTCTGTGCTTGCGTCCGAAGAGCAGGAAAGGCAAAGAGCCCGAGTGTGCTCATGATAGCCAACGCTGTTGTTATGATAATGAAATTTTAATGAGTTTTAAGCTAATAGAGTTGGAATGGCCTAGCCAGCATGATGGGGAAGCAGGGCGTCCGTTTGTCTGTTTAAGATTCAAAAGTCTAATGTAGATTTTGCACGTCAATCGTCACAAGTGTTGGAAAGATATATGTATGTTTTGGATGCCAACTTGTTTTGCAGCAATTTTTGTTATGTGTTTTTCCACCATTATTTTTCTCTTTCATTCTTTAACTAACAATTAGCCTCCTCCCCATTCCTACAAAAACGGTGGTGGATATTGCAATTGTCCATATAATTAAATAAATGTACATTCAATTTTAATTATATTTCACGACCCAGAAAAAGAATCAGTTGTGAAGAAACATCATCTCTGCCAGAAAGACTACATTTATTTTTCCTTTTCCGATGCAGTGTTAGTACAGGCACGGGGATTGGTACGAGGAGAATGGTCGATTATAGCTGTGAAGAATCACTAGGTTTGATAAATCACAATTGCAATAATGAGATTAGAGAATATGCTGGAACGACAAAGAAACAGCAAAATTGGAGAAATAATGGCACGTTAGGTTGGGGGGAATGACTATTCCATCCCCCTTTTTCCTGTGATGAATAATAAAACATTAGTTTGGTTCATGAAATCCCTATTACCTTGTTTACACACAAATTTTGTGTTGGAAATATGACAAGAAAAATTGAAAACAAATAATAAATTTATTTATTAAACTTGTAGAATTTACTTTAAGAATTTTTATTACAAAAAAATCCTTTAATTTTTTTTAGCAAAAATCGACTCAGGCAAATTTGTTCTTAAATGCTTCAAAGGTCATTTAGACTTGTTCTTAAATACTTTAAGAGTCTTGTTGACTTGATATTGAGCAAACGGAATTGATCTCCTTCCTTTAGAGGGAATAAAATTGAAAAGTAATATCTTGATAATTCTTGGAATTCAAATGTTTTATTTTTAGAGTTCTTAAAAAATTTTCAACTCGTTAGAGCTTGCTTCTTGAGATTTTGTAGAGGTTTTGGGTTTTTTAAATCATCTTGTTATTTAGAAAATTTTTTCAGGCTTTGGATCTTTAAATTCTTCATCTTTAGAATTGTGAATTATGAATTAAGATTAGGGGATGCACTATATTTAAAGTACCAGCTTACTAGATAAGAGAAAGAGTTTTGAGAGAATTCAACTTCTTTGATTTTATCTCCAAACAACTGTAGTTTAATTAGAGATAAAAACTGATAATTCATTGGTGAAATCTAATTGGTCAAAGTGTTTTATTCTCAATTGACAAGTGATATATTTAATTAATTATATAATTAAATAAAATAATATCATTAATGCACATGGAGATAATTGATTTGTCACTTGAAAATTCTTTAATTAATTAATTAAAAAAATTTACTGGACATATGATACATCGTGATTAGATGAAAATTTTCTCTCTCTACAAATACCCCTTCAAGACTTAATTACTACACAATTTGTGAATGTAACAAGTAGACAAATCTTAATAATTTGCTTTGGCACTAATTTTTATTGATCGATAACAATTTTTCAGCGTGCCTTCAACTTGAAAAGAATGACACTTTAAATATAGTGGAATTCTTAACCAAATAGCAATAAGAATATCTTAGAATAATTGCCTTATAACCTTGATGGGTGTGCACATTCCTTATCCCATTAAATGTAAGACTTCAGAAAAATTTTTTCTAAGCCACTTTGGACTTTTATTTCCTTGGTAAATTTGACACTTGGCCAAGAGACAATTAGAATCCTAAAAATTGAAAAATTTATCCAAGATTCATGTATCATTATTCAAAGAAAAATTGAACTCTAACTTCTAGTCCCAAAATAGATTCTCTAAGGCATGTACTCCAAAGCCACTTAGGAATAAGATTGTGCCCTTATAAAAACATATCTTCTCTTGCTAATTTCCCTCATCAATATCAAAATAATCTCAAAGATTTACGCAAGATTGCCAAAACCATAGCTTAACTTACTAGGTAAAGTTCTTGATCACTACCTGTTTGTTTTTTTCCTTGCATTTAATTTGTGCTTAGTTACCTTGCTTTGCTAATCACCACTTCCTTTATTTCACTAGAGAATCCAACCAAGCTTTTTCTTTCTTTAGTTAAGCAAATATGTAATGCTTTAATTTTCTTTTTCTTACCCAACAAAAATACATAGCCATGTTGTAGTCAATTAGAGTCTAATGCAATTGCATTCATGATTCATTTGCCAATACATCATTGTTTCCTTAAAATTAATTGGCCAAAGCACATTCCGTATAATCCACTTCTATACATATTCACATTCATCATGACATAACAGGTTGAAATCCCTTGTATGTTACCATATATTTTTTTATTCTTTCTTGCATTAGACTTGCGCACTTTGAAGAGTTTGTTGCTTTTGAGTTAATGTTTCCTTCTTATCCTGTGGTCGGCCATTGAAAGCTGGATAAACTTATCCTCGTCTTTTCAAGGGGCTTTACAAGCTTTTTGCACAACCAACTATTGGTGCTTTTTTTTTTTTTTTTATCTTTCTTACCCTTTTTTTTTCTTCTTTAACTTTCTTTCTTTGTTAACAACCAAAATCGTTTGTCTTCATTCTTTTATTTCAACTGTAAAATAACAAAAAAAATTCTTTTGAATGGCTTTGAATCTTTCTTTTCTTCTTTGAACATATTGCAATTACACTTGATTAAAGTAAGCTTCATCCCTTGTAAAGATTTTATTGGTGTCGAGCTTCGATATGAGGATATCCCTAGAAGGACAAGAAAGGGAAGAAAGCGGTTTAGTGCAAAGGCAGGGAATGTTTCCTACATTTGCACTCTGAAGTATAAGTCAAAAATCAAAATGAAAGAGATCAGGAAAGAAGAGTGAAGGTATATATAAAATAAGACCTGGGATGATAATGCCTGGATATCTATATTTATAGATAAGAGATAGGAGACCAATAGGGGACAATAATGACATGGTCGAGCTAATGTGGCACTGAACATGTCAGGCCAATCTAATATGTCAGGTCGATTTAAATGTCTGAAGTGCCTCTAGTTGTCTATCAGGAGTCTCTAATAAGGAAAAAGACAATCATGCTTTTTGGACCATAAATATCTTTAACATTCTATCCCTCTACCGAGCAATCTAAGTATCAGATTATTGGGTGTGTAGTTAGTTTATTTCGTACAGGTCGATTTACTTAAAGGGGGTTACGAGGAATTCGATCTCTAATGGCCGGAGTTGGTGTGGAAGCTAGCATCAAGTGACTATTTGTCATTTACTTCGACTTAAGGTACTATGATGTATGACGACCTGATGTGAGTTTTATTTTGCATGTGTGCTTTAGGTTAAATGTATGGCTGGTTTAAAAGTTGCTGATGTGTTTTTTATTTGGGATGATTTGAGGTCAGGATGAGAGGTTTGGAAGGGTTGAGGAATTCGTTTGGTCTATGTGAGACTTAAACATTTTTTCATAAGCTTGAACTTGAATCCTTATTTAAACTTTATTAATGAACCAACTATCAATTCACTAGACTGATTTAACCTAGAGACCTATTTAGTTTAGTTGATCTAATTAATTTAAGTGGTTAAGGTTGCATTAAATAAGGAAAAAAGTAGTTTACACAATAAAATTCAAAGCGAGAAAGGTGAAAAGATGCCTTCCAACGGTGCTCTAACATATGGCACAATCTAGGCAATTCATCTTATCTGAGGAGCAATTATAAAAAGGCCTATTGGGATCTTCATTTTTCACTTTTCACCTTTTTGCTTTTTTAGCTTCCGTCCAACTTGAAATTTTCAACCTCAAAAGCTTTTTGTCTTTTTTGTTCTCTTTCATTCATTCGTTCTTTCCATTTTTGTCAATATGTTCTCTCTTTATCATATCTTTTAGTTTTAGTTTTGAAGAAGTTGAGAATTTCATGGTAGAGCATAGAAAAGGTTAGCTTGGGTAGGACGATGATGATCTAGTCCCACAAATCATTAAAGGTCGAGACTATCACAAGATGGCCTACTAGCTTAACCCCATATCTAAGGAAAGTCAGTAACAAATTGATAAGAATGCTTAGGCAAAAAAAGAGCGAGTCTTGAGCATAGAAGAGCTGTGTGCTCAAATAGATTTTAATTTAAAAAATTCACCTTTTTTTCTTGTTTCTCAGTTTGATACGTCTTTTATAGCCAGCCTTCCCTAATTTTTAGTTGTTTCCCCTTTTATGGTCTAGCCTTATTAGCCTTTTGCTTTTTCTACTCCCATTCTTATAAATGCTCATGTTATTTCTTCTATTTTTTCTCAGTCAACCCTCGTTGACATCACCTCTTTTCTTGAAGAGTTTTTTTTTCTTCCTTTTCCCCTTAGGGTTGTGGTGTTCTCTGCCATTACTCTAACTTGAAATCCTGCTCTTACTTAAGAGTCTGAGTTTTTTGACGGTGGAGGCTCTGACGATGAAGAGGGTTTTGAGGCAAAATAGGAGAAAATGAATACCCTTACTAAGAAAGGTGATGGTAAGGAGTGGAGTTCCTCAAAGCAAGACAAAATGGCTGAAGTTTCTATATATACCTTTTGCAACCTAGGTATGATCCTTAAGGACGTGATGAAAGAATTAAAAAGTAAGGCCAATCCCAAGGACTACCCTAATATGTGCTTAGCTCATCACATCCGTACTTTAAGAATGAGCTTTTCACTTTTTCAAAAAGGGGTATAGTGTACTAATGTCAAACTTCTCAGATCGGATCACAGCTAAATAGTGTGACATCAGCATTGGCTATATTAGGATTCATTTATGGTTGGTTTGAGGTTTCCACTTCATTCTTTATTTATTTCAATTTTTAATTCTTATAATTTAACAATTATTCAGCTTACCATTAACTCTATATGGTACATAGTAGGTTCATTATCCTTTGTCAACATTTAGATAATCTTTCTGATCTTTTTTTATTTAGGGAATTTTTTTCTATTAAAAAGCATCATAGTGATAAAAGGTGCTTTTACGTCACAATTTGATCCAAAAAAAGTTGTTTATCGACTAACTGAGTTCTATCAAGAATTGGAAGTTGTTTTTCCTTGGCCTCTAGAAACAAAAGAAAAATAAAGATAATGAAATTGAGGTCCAGGATAAGGCTTGAGAGGTGATAAACGAGCCTGGCAAATTTATAGATGTGCTTATTGCTTTTTTCATCCTAGTCCTCTCAAATTG